TTCCTGCGCGAGAGTTGGCGGGCATCAAAGGGTAATTCCTTCTTGAGAGACACCGGCTCTGCGGACTCTCGTCTTGGTGAGCCATCCCGGCGGCGATGTGAATGCCCATCTCGGTGACGGTGGCGGTGACGGTGAGGCTGCGATGGCCTACCACCCTCTCGGTCCTCGTTGGACGGATATGAACGGCCCGCATCCTGGTCCCCAGAATAATCGACTCGGTGCCGCTTTGAACTCCTCCCAGATTCCCTCGAGCCGTCTTCTCTGACCCTCTCCCAGTCCGGATCCGCGCCACGATCCCGCCAACGATACCTATCCTCGCCCTGACCGCTCACAGAAACATTCGGGTCAAAACGCGGAGACCGCGAGCGGGAAAGTATCCTCCCATGATTTGATCGTGACCGGCTCCTCGACCGAGCTAGGCGCCGAGATTCAAGTTTGGAAGGTGATGCTGGCATGCCTCTGTGGGTAACTGGGTAATCACCCAATTATCTTTAATGCGATGCCTGGACAGTCTCTGTGTTTTGGTGATGCCCAGTTGGATTTCCAAAGTGAAAACAAGGCGCTCAATGTGCGATTCTTACGAAGTACTTAAAACAAGTATAAACTTCCGAACGCGACCTGGCGCACCTCAAACCCAAATGTAGCTTGTGTTTGTATCAAACCCTGTGTTTGATGTTGAGCCTTGTTAAGCTTGCATTGGCCAACGGAGAAGCTGCTGCCATAGCGTGGTGGGTCGTTGTTAGCGCAGGACACAGCGAATCTCCGTTATGCTCCGCTCCGTTTTCAGATGCGAGAACGACCCAGGGGAGTCACTGCAGGGTTGCAGGGGTCTTGGAGGACGGAAGCTTCATTCCAACGCAACATCTGGCATAGGTAGCACCTGCTTTCATCAAGATTTGTTCAACAGGTAAGTACTTCATTTCGTAGGTATCAAGTGGTGAGAGAAGATGATCATTGTTGAAAGCGGCATACCACTGCCCTATGGGTATCTCATATTCGCAATATAATAAACAAACTGCCTGCAGGCAATCCCCGGGTAGACTAGACAGGAAATAAGAATACATCTGTCTTCGACTGCGACATGCAACACTACATCAACCCATACGCGTACTACAAACCGCTCTCTCCAGCACACTTTTTTTTTTCTGTTTTCAACGGTCTTTTCCCACTCCCGGGCGCTGTTACCCTTGGTTCAGCGGAATGTTATGAACCAGACACCCCGGGCAATCACAGCTGTCGCCGCACGGACAAGACTCGAGATGTCCTCCGCAGAGACCGGAAATAGGCAAGTTGACGAAAAAGTAATCCATCGTCGACAACGACTGCTCTTCCCGAGCAGGTGACCCCTCACTTGCTGCCGGCGTGGGTGCTTCCGTCGGGGATTCCTGGCCGGCTGTCACTGCGCCTCGTACCTGCCCCTTCGCCGGTTGATCCGCTCCGCCGGGGCTGCTGCCGGTGCTGCCGTTGTATGCATTGTTGACGTACTGAAACATCTGGGGGTTGAAGGGATGGGCTAGAACAGCCGACGCATTGGCAGCCTTCGCCGCAGTTTGCACTGGTGGCCTGGTGCCGTTATCCGACCACATCCCCTTTTCATGGTGGGCGACATAGGCGTGCTCACGACACGCCAGTCTGTGACACGACCTGCTGCCAGATGACAAGGTCGATCGGGTGCTGCCAAGAACCGTAGTCGCCCGGGTATCGAAAGACGGTGGGATATTGAAAATGGGGCATGTATGGTTTGGTTGTTAAACCTGGAACCTGACCGGGAAGATAGTTGGGGACTGGGGGGCTGGTGCTCGATTGGATTTAGAGATGGTTTTGCTGTATACAATCCACACCAAC